CCCTACTTCCGGGTACGGCCCCGGCAACGGAAGGCGAGCGCGACCGCCCCGCACGAGGAAACAGCTTCAGGAAAAGAGGTGGGGCTGACAATCTGTCGGGAGCCAATTAAATAGCGAAGCGAGAGGTGACTTCCGGTTCCGGGGGGATAAAAGGCCGGGCGCGGGGCTGGGCCCGGCAGTCGCTGAGGAGCCGCTGCTGTGGGTCTGAGGGAGAGCGCGCAGGTGAGGGAGCTGTCCCCTGGGGTCCTCAGGGTGGGCTTAGGGATCCCCGCTGTCTATTCAGCCCCTAGAGGGGAGAGGAGGAGAGGAAATGCTTTGTGTTAGAGCTCTTCTTTGTTCCCTGAGGTCTGTAACAAAGGTGTACGTGGGGGTGTGTGTTGGGGGATCCCTGCTGGTTACCTCAGGTCCTGGGAAGGGTCTGTGCTTGTCATCTCCTTGTCTTCTCAGGACCCGCGTGTGTCTGTATATATGTGTGTGTTTTGGGGGAGTAAATAGACATTATGCGTCCCTGTTGTCTCCTCTCCACTTGGGCCCTGAAAGCTTTGTGGGGTAAACTTTTAAGACTCCTTAATATGCCTCTCACCTTAGATCCCTCAGGGCTCTCTAGTGTGTTAAATCATTTCAGGCCTGTAATGCATGGGGGTGTGTGTCAGGGCTCCTTGATGTTTCTGCTCTGTTCTCTCTGAGGAGGGACTCTGTGACACCTCTGTGTCCCTTCTCACCTCAGGCTTGGTCAGCATGGCAGATGAGGAGATTGCTGCCCTTGTGGTGGACAATGGCTCTGGCATGTGCAAGGCAGGCTTTGCAGGGGATGATGCTCCCCGTGCTGTGTTTCCCTCCATTGTGGGGCGTCCCCGGCATCAGGGTGTCATGGTGGGCATGGGGCAGAAGGACAGCTATGTGGGGGATGAGGCCCAGAGCAAAAGGGGCATCCTCACTCTGAAGTATCCCATTGAGCATGGCATTGTCACCAACTGGGATGACATGGAGAAGATCTGGCACCATACCTTCTACAATGAGCTGCGTGTTGCCCCAGAGGAGCACCCCGTCCTGCTCACTGAGGCCCCACTGAACCCCAAGGCCAATCGTGAGAAGATGACTCAGATCATGTTTGAGACCTTCAACACCCCAGCTATGTATGTAGCCATCCAGGCTGTGCTGTCCCTTTATGCCTCTGGCCGCACCACTGGCATTGTCATGGACTCTGGGGATGGTGTCACCCACACCGTGCCCATCTATGAAGGCTACGCGTTGCCCCACGCTATCCTGCGTCTAGATTTGGCTGGCCGTGACCTGACTGACTACCTCATGAAGATCCTCACGGAACGGGGCTACAGCTTCACCACCACAGCTGAAAGAGAGATTGTGCGGGACATCAAGGAGAAGCTCTGCTATGTTGCTCTGGACTTTGAGCAGGAGATGGCCACAGCTGCCTCATCCTCCTCCCTGGAGAAGAGCTATGAGTTGCCTGATGGGCAGGTGATCACCATTGGGAATGAGCGTTTCCGCTGCCCTGAGTCCATATTCCAGCCCTCCTTCCTGGGCATGGAGTCCTGCGGCATCCACGAGACCACCTTCAACTCCATCATGAAGTGTGATGTGGATATCCGGAAGGATCTGTATGCCAACACCGTGCTGTCTGGGGGTACCACCATGTACCCCGGCATCGCTGACAGGATGCAGAAGGAAATCACTGCCCTGGCACCCAGCACTATGAAGATTAAAATTATCGCCCCGCCAGAGCGTAAATACTCTGTCTGGATCGGTGGCTCCATCCTGGCATCTCTCTCCACCTTCCAGCAGATGTGGATCAGCAAGCAGGAGTATGACGAGTCCGGCCCCTCCATCGTCCATCGCAAGTGCTTCTAGAGGGACTGCTGGCAGTCACCCAAGGGCTGTCCTCACCAGGATGTGTGCTGGGACAACCTCCTCCTTCCACGTTGGACCAGAATTGTTCGACTGTTACTTACTTCATGTTTTAATTAATTTGTTGAGGTACTGAGTAGTGACATGTGCCCATTAGGCTGTAGTTCTCCTGTGGCTGGCTAGCTGCTCCTCCTCGTGGCTCTCTGGAGCTTGGAAGTAGACAGAGGGTTGTTCACTTTTCCTATGTAACACTGATATGATGACACTAAAGTTAGACTTGTCACCTTTAGGTTTGTCACAATTGACTCCTCTGTAGGAAAATTAATAAACTTCTTAGACTCAAACTAAAAGAGGTTATTTTGCTTTCTTTCAGAGTGGGCTCTTGATCTCCTTGCTGCAGAGAAATATTGTGCAATACATGGTTTTGGACTCAAACCTGACTTGTAGCTGCCTGCTCACAACTTAGAAAACAAAATTTGGGGTAAATGCTACACAAATCATGTGATGGCACCTTTTAAAGCTGCCTTGTGCTGTGCAGACCATTTTAAGAACTGTTAGGGAGGAAAGCTTGACTGGTATGTGACTCTTGCAGCCGTTCTGTACTTTCATGGTAGCTTGGCTTTTTTTAGAACACAAACAGTTCTTCTTGTCAGAAAAAGTTGGTGCCTTGGCACAGGTTTTGGTGACCAGAGGAGTAGCGTCCTCTCCTTTTTTGGGAGAGGGTGACAAGATGAAGAAGCAGATAGTGCAGAAGCTTGCACAGCTTGGGGAAGCGGGTTCCCTCCTGTTCTGGGGGGTTGTCTACAGGGCCCCTCTTCCAGGGGAAAGCCTGGGG